ATAAAATCAACAAAAATATATCTAAAAGTAATCAAACTTACATCTAAGTTATTATTTCCATCGTTTCGTGCGATCGCGTGTAATGTAAGTCAAATGACATCTCGGCTTTCGTCGCCTTGAATTCTCTGCTCGGACACAACGTTTAATGCAAAAATATATGCATGAAAAATCTTTGTCACAGCTCGTAACCTAGCACGATACATTCGCGAAGTTCCATATTTTTAAAATATATCGTGATTTCCTGCTTAAAACGTTCAGAATAACACGATTTAACAAAAAATCTTTCGCTAACTTCTGAAATTTATCAAACACGAGCTTTGTATCAAAGCTTGATTGGCTGCCTGAGGTCACGTGCTCAAAATTGACCAATCACGAAACTTGTAGCAGATTTCGGCAAGAAAGCGTCATTAGAAACAAATTTTAATCCAATGAAATCGCTTGTTATAACTACGGGGAAAAAACAGGCGATGTTACGAAAGCGCGATTACGAAATGAATGACCGCCGTGTTGTGACAGCAACTACATGTGTGTGACAGTTTAGCCTTAAATTGGATTGCCCACTAATTAAGAATATAAACTTCACTTGTGGTTCTCTTTTATTGCATGCATGCGCTTCTAAGATCAAAGGATGTATAGTGTGAAAAGTTAACTAGTTGAACAATCGTATTTCCGGGACTTGCCGCGGATATTTTCAAACAGATTATTATAACTCCATTCAGCAATAAACCGTTGATTATGCAATGAGAAGCGTTATGTGCAAATAAACAACGAACAACAATACAATCATGTCTGTGTAAAACTCTCAGTATTAAAAGTGTACATAAATTTTGGGAGCCATGCGTTACCGCGCGTAATAACCGAAGTAGCGCTTTATCGAAGAGCGCAATAGCGAGCGATCACTGTACAAGCTCTGTGCTGATAAAGTCCACTCCACTAGCTGGCTATTACAAGCTCTGTGCTGATGAAGTCCACTCCACTAGCTGGCTACTACAGGCTCTGTGCTGATGAAGTCCACTCCACTAGCTGGCTACTACAAGCTCTGTGCTGGTGAAGTCCACTCCACTAGCTGGCTACTACAAGCTCTGTGCTGATAAAGTCCACTCCACTAGCTGGCTATTACAAGCTCTGTGCTGATGAAGTCCACTCCACTAGCTGGCTACTACAGGCTCTGTGCTGATGAAGTCCACTCCACTAGCTGGCTACTACAAGCTCTGTGCTGATGAAGTCCACTCCACTAGCTGGCCACTACAGACTCTGTGCTGATGAAGTCCACTCCACTAGCTGGCCACTACAGGCTCTGTGCTGATGAAGTCCACTCCACTAGCTAGCCACTACAGGCTCTGTGCTGATGAAGTCCACTTCATTAGCTGGCCACTACAGGCTCTGTGCTGATGAAGTCCACTCCATTAGCTGGCCACTACAGGCTCTGTGCTGATGAAGTCCACTCCATTAGCTGGCCACTACAGGCTCTGTGCTGATGAAGTCCACTCCATTAGCTGGCCACTACAGGCTCTGTGCTGATGAACAGACACAAACCAAAATGTCATTGCTGTGAATCAGTGTGGACCCATTTAGAAACGTTCTCTGTCAAGGTGTGTCCGTCCTCACATTAATGTTATGAAACAGCCAGCAGCGAGGCAGGGAAGCCGAGTGACTGTGGCTATCTTGTAATTGCTTTACCATGCAATGACCGTATAGAAACGATGTATCCCACTCGGCACAATCATTCTGCTTAATGACATATTTATTAATCTTGATACACAGGGGAATTCTTTGGCTTTGAAGCTTGCAGTGATTAAAATAGCCATGTCCATAAGCATTGATAATAATACTTTTTTCAACAGATGAAGGCCCTGATGAATTTAGTCGGCTCTCAAGGGAGTGAGTGAGTGAGTGAATACAGTTTTACACCAGTTTTAGCAGTATTAAAGCAAACTCTCAGTGGGAAACACTAGAAATGGGCAACAGATTTTTGGCAATCAAACCCAGGACTTTGGTGCCTTAACCACTAGGCTTTATTTCAGTAAAGGGGCCACCAGCCCATTATACAATACATGATATCAGATTAAGACAATTTCAGCGCCAGTGAGAAAGTTATTATGTTTTTTAAAATCAAGAAATATAAATTTAGCTAAAGCATTAATTATGCATGGGATTTTAGATGTACAGAGTGTTACAAATTTATCAAAAGTTACATTTGTGTAAAAATAATAAGGTAGAACCTTACGTCTCAAACTGTCATAGTATGGACATTGCAAACAAACAAAAAATTCAGATTCAACTTCAGGTCTGACACAAAATGGACATAGTCTCTTAGCTTTAGGTATACTGTACTTCCTTCCATTTTCATTCAGCAAAGTATGACCAGAACATCTTCATTTACTCAAAGCAATGCGATAGGCACTTACTGGAATACTGAAATAAAGCTCTCTCTCTCTCTCTTAACCACCCAAATCCCTTCAAGGGAAACAACCATCTCTCGGACTTAGTCCAAAAATCAATACTAAAAAAATGTTCAGTAGCTCACCTATTTGAAGCTATATCCAATTTTGAGAAATGAAGATGCATTTACAAGAAAGAAGAGCTAAATATGGATAACCTGACAGTGAATAGGATCCTCAACACGTTAGTATTGGTCCTCCCATTGTCTAAAGGACACTTTGACGCCACGGACCTTGTGCAGAGCATAGATTGGCAGTGCAGGAATAAGTCTTAAACAGTGAACAAATCAGTAACCATATTCCTTTGAGGCTTACTGTCTAATTGTCTGCAAGAACTATTCTAGACTTGATACTCATGTCAATATGTCATTAATGAAAAATATGGATGTGAATAAAGTTACAATCCAAAGAGGAGTGTGGAGTATTATTATCGTGAGGTCTTGCATAGGCACTTTTTATGGATAACAATTTCTCCATTGCTTGTACCAACATTTCTGGGATACTTCTTGCCCTGCCATTCAGTGAGTGAGTGAGTGAGTATGGTTGTACGCCGCTTTTAGCAATATTCCAGCAATATCACGGCGGGGGACACCAGAAATGGGCTTCACACATTGTGCCAATGTCGGGAATCGAACCGGGGTCTTTGGCGTGACGAGCGAACGCTTTAACCACTAGGGTACCCGACCACAATCTTCCCATATTACTTTCAATCAAGGATTGAGCGATCATCCACATAAACAAAAACAGATATTGAAAACAATCGAAAGGTAGCTTGACCCGTTGACATGTTCAACGAATCAATCATGATATTAATTGTTATTTCGTCAATCAAACCAATGAAATCAACAAATCACGCCTTGTGTTGTATCTTGTTTTCATTTCCGAGAGTAAATGGTGTATCTTGGATGTGTATTGATGATCTAACATTTCTGATAAATGTGATAGCAAAATAAAGTCATGTATAACTGGGCCGGTCATATACACAGTAAACTACGGTTATAACGAACACGCTTATAACGAAATAACAGATATAACAAACTAACTTTTTAGTCCTGACTATATGCTGTAGTTATGCTGTATATATGCTTATAACGAATTACGGTTATAACGAACTAAAATTACTAGTCCCTTTGAGTTCGTTATAACCGTAGTTTACTGTATCTATATTAATATATTATACAGGAATAACCATGCTGAGAACATAAAGGACAGTTTATGTCAGGGAGTGATCTAAACAATCAGTTGATTAATTTGATCAATTTACGTTCAAGCCTTGAGGCAAGTGTTAGGACTTAATTTTTTATTGTAAAACTGTTTACCATGTATATAATTACCAGTTGATTGCTAGACAAAGGCTCATCTAGGTCAAAAGACCCCCCACCAATCCATCTGCACTCCCCACCCAGCAGGTGACCGGGATAATGGTCACTAATCCAGGACAGATCCATGATCATAACTTGCCTGGAACTAAACCTCTTGTCTGTGGGGATTACCATGGATTGATCATTAATCAGGAACCTCTGAATAGGTGCTGGGTTAGTGGCAAGACCCCAGTTAAAATAGTCAACTGTTATATTGTTACATATTCTGTATAAAGGTCAAACACGTTCTGTTTAGTAGTTTCTCCAACTTGATGTCTTTATTACTTGCTTTAGATTTTCAATTTTCACTTAATTTTATTAAATAAACGTGACAAAAGCATAAGAAATCAAAAGAAATCTCTGCTTGAAGTGGAGTCCAGTGTACGATTCTGACTATATCATGAGCCTGGGTTTATGAATCACTATGTAGTGATGATATCTGGTGATTACAACATGGTAGGTGTATCCTACCCCACCGGTGGCATCAGTCACAAACACATACAAAGGCAAGTCAATTGTTTACCTGAAAATACATGGAATACATGGCACAAGTAAGAAGTGGGAATTGCATCAGGTATACTTTTGCTACTAAAGCATCAGGTTTGGAAATGTGCTCCACATGTCTATCATAAAACATTTTGAAAGTTTTACTAAGGTCCTGAAGGCGACTATGCTTGTCGTAAGAGGCGACTATGCTCATTGTAAGAGGCGACTAATGGGATCAGGTGGTCAGGCTCGCTTACTCAGTTGATGCATATCATGGTATCCCAATTGCGTGGATCGATGCTCATGATATCGATCACTGGATTGTCTGGTCCAGACTCGATTATTTACAGACCGCCGTCATAAAGCTGGAATATTGAGGCGTTAAACAACAAACCAACCAACCAACCAAGGTCCTGAATGCTGAACCTGTAAAACATTAACCAGAACCATTTCACCTTTGTTGTCATCATTGAAGGTATGTAAGGGATTCATCTACACACACTGAGTCTTAATTGTTCAGGAAGTATCACCTCGAATTCTTAGGGGAATACAAAGAACAAATCCTCACCACATCTTTGCAACTGGTGATTATGAACTACGATACTGGCTGACTAATTAATAAATATTGTTGATCAAGGTACCGATGTACCTGAGAATATCCCACGCCCCCCAATAAGAAAAGACAAGTTGAAAGAAATTATGATGTACTCACACTGTGAAATGGTAGATGAAACACTTCCATCCCGTGGGTCGTTCCAGGAAGTTGTAGATGCGAGCCTGTAGTGAGGTCTTGCCGTGCATGCGACTGGCGTACATAGGTGGGTAAGGCTTGTTCTCCGCTGCTTGCAAAGCTTGTTGGAGGTTCTTGGAGTCTACAGAGGGAGCCAATGTAGACCCCGAGGAAAATTCTGCTTCATAATGTTCAGTAATAATACTTGGAAATCCATTTCCAGAAAACTTGGACTTGTTCCTTTTAAGGAAGCCTCGGACGTCACCTTTAGGCAGCATACGCTGGGCAGAGCCATCGTCCCGACAAGGGACATCCATCTCTGGTTCCATCTGAATGAACTTTCACCTGATGCAATTTGTCACTTATTGTATACCAATTCACAATTAACCATGAATTGAAACTTGAAATGATTCCCAACAGTCCAAAGTGTCACATATTGGTATATTGGTCAGAAGACAAGGCTCAGTCTATGAAGACTTTCCTACAACACGTTGAGATCACCTAACTGCAGATATGTACATTGTTAGTTCAATGTAAAGTTTCTATGACAAACATTCACGTGGGTTATCCCACTGCTGACATGGCTGTCCAGTTCCTATGCTCCAAGGGTCACCCTACACCGGCTGCAGCCATCTTGTCCAATGATCCTGATCTGCTGCATCCGGCACAGGTTGTTCATCTGCAGCATCTCATTGGCCAATCTGTGAAAAGAAAATATAATAATTTGCATGAGCCTGCTTGTTTGACAACACAGATACCCATACTGTCCTTGACTCTATCAAATAAAGCCTGCTAGTTTGACAACACAGATACCCATATTTTCCTCGTCTAAATCACAGCAAGCCAGCTTGTTTGACAACACAGATACCCATATTTTCCTCGTCTAAATCACAGCAAGCCAGCTTGTTTGACAACACAGATCCCCATATTTTCCTCGTCTAAATCACAGCAAGCCAGCTTGTTTGACAACACCGATACTCATATTTTCCTCGTCTAAATCACAGCAAGCCAGCTTGTTTGACAACACAGATCCCCATATTTTCCTCGTCTAAATCACAGCAAGCCAGCTAGTTTGACAACACAGATACCCATATCGTCCTTGACTCTATCACAGCAAGCCAGCTTGTTTGACAACAGAGATCCCCATATTTTCCTCGTCTAAATCACAGCAAGCCAGCTTGTTTGACAACACAGATACTCATATTTTCCTCGTCTAAATCACAGCAAGCCAGCTTGTTTGACAACACAGATCCCCATATTTTCCTCGTCTAAATCACAGCAAGCCAGCTAGTTTGACAACACAGATCCCCATATCGTCCTTGACTCTATCACAGCAAGCCAGCTTGTTTGACAACAGAGATCCCCATATTTTCCTCGTCTAAATCACAGCAAGCCAGCTTGTTTGACAACACAGATACTCATATTTTCCTCGTCTAAATCACAGCAAGCCAGCTTGTTTGACAACAGAGATCCCCATATTTTCCTCGTCTAAATCACAGCAAGCCAGCTAGTTTGACAACACAGATCCCCATATCGTCCTTGACTCTATCACAGCAAGCCAGCTTGTTTGACAACACAGATACCCATATTTTCCTCGTCTAAATCACAGCAAGCCAGCTTGTTTGACAACACAGATCCCCATATTTTCCTCATCTAAATCACAGCAAGCCAGCTTGTTTGACAACACAGATCCCCATATCGTCCTTGACTCTATCACAGCAAGCCAGCTTGTTTGACAACACAGATCCCCATATTTTCCTCGTCTAAATCACAGCAAGCCAGCTTGTTTGACAACACAGATCCCCATATTTTCCTCGTCTAAATCACAGCAAGCCAGCTTGTTTGACAACACAGATCCCCACACCTTCTTGTCTCATTCACAGCTTCAGTTAGCACCAAAGGTCACAGATTTCAAACAAAGCCTGTTTATCACCTCCAGTGTCTGTTTCCATAAAAACGTATCAGTCGCAAACCCACATCTCATGTCCTCATTGTCCAGTAAGCCGACATAATGACCACACACTTGGATACCTAATACAATTCAAATTTGCACTCTACAGAATATCAATACCCAAGCTGCATGGACAACAGACAATGGACTTTGTCCTACATTATGCTGATAAATAATTACTGGCAAATATATACGAATCAGAAGAGAACCTTTCTAAAAACAATGACAAAGCCGTAGGAACTGGCTCCCTAATGAACACAATCACATGGCAACATTTACTGGGTATCACAACAATGAAAGGGAATGGTCTGATTATTGGCAAGTGAACTCCGACCTTTACTGCAACATAGATAGTTTATAACAGGTCCAAAGGACTTCAGACAAAGGAAACTGATATGGCTTGCTCTGTGAATCTTGCATGTCATATGAGAAGTAGTGTTAGATTATTGATGAGCAAAAATGAAACATCAAGAAATTCTGGTGACATACATTCTTCCTGTGTAATTATCACAAACCAGGACAATACACTGGAGTTGGTCAGATTAAATTTAAAAAAGTAATTCGGTGAAACAGTTGGCAATTGCTAATCATTGTTTCTCATGAAAAAAATCAATTAAACCAAAGGCATAAAGGTTTCTCATATTATAAAAAACAATGTCAACTTAATTGCCATATAGTCACAATAGAGGATGATGCATGTCTTTATATCCCAATTGCGTGGATAGATACTCATGATGTTGGTCACTGGATTGTTTAGACTTGTCCACACTTGATGGTCCAGACTTGATTACTTACAGACCACTGTCTTACAGCTGGAATATTGCTGAATGCGGTGTTAACAACAAACAGACACAATGGAGGAGTGAGTGAGTGAGTGAGTATGGTTTTACGCCACTTTTAGCAATATTCCAGCAATATCGCGGCGGGGGACACCAGAAATGGGCTTCACACATTGTACCCATGTCGGGAATCAAACCCGGGTCTTCGGCGTGACGAGCGAACGCTTTAACCACTAGGCTACCCGACCGCCCCCACAATGGAGGACGATGTGTCTACTACCAGTGGGCATTATATATACAAGTCTCACTGACCTCCTTTTCCAAGGTCGGACACCATCTCCACACTTGTGAGTGAGTGTGTTGGGCTTAACGCCGCTTTTAACAGTATCCAGTCATATAACGGCGTGTCAGCTTAATGTGGGAGGAAAGCCCGAAGTGATGCAGGTCTCAGATGTTTATCACTTCAGTGAAACCCACGAGCACGGGTATGGTGCTGACAAACCTAGAAACATAATCGGGACGAACCGGGATTCGAACTCACAATCATAGGTTTCTGGCGTGCCTAAGGGACACAACTCTGCACAGCGAATCGTGGCGCCTTAGACGACTGGGCCACCTGTGCCCCTTCCTGTTGTGACCCAGTCAGTATGAAGGAGACATCTTCACAGACACCTACCGTATTCGACGTAATAAGCGCCCACGGCCATATTTGCTAATATATTGGCTAGTGAACAATCCCAATAAGCACCTCTTCCGATTGATCAATGTACACAAGACTTATTTATTCGCGTATATTACGTACTCGTGTGTCATATGCACCCTTAGTTATGGACAATTTAATTCTGGAAAAATAAATCTGTCGTACATAAACATTTCAGGCTGTCAGCATAAACCACGAAATTTATGTTTAAACTCTGGTCTTTTTTCACCAAAATGATGTTCTAATAAGAGCCCCCTATTTCTAATTTTGAGAGCGCCCTGGGCGCTTATTACGTCGAATACGGTATTTCATGCTGAGTGGTAATTAACTTGCTGAACTTAAGTATCATTGAGGTTATGTTGGGTGAAATGGGGTTTAACATCACATCCAAGATAATTGCACTTATATTGAGACGTGCATGCATGTGTATGTGTGTCTGTGGCTGCTTGTACAAGTCCGAACGGATGCTGATTTATATTACTAGCACACTGAAATACCATGCCGCAGTTTAACATGAATACCCCACTCAGACACAGGATACTGACTCAGAGCCGACCAGTTCTTGTTTTAGCCCCTTAATTCAGCCAGACAGGGTAACAACAAGTACCATCTTTTAACGTCTATAGGTATGACGTGGCCGGGGATTGAACCCCGGACCTTCCGCTCTCTGGTTGGACGCTCTACCATTAGACCACGGAGGCGGTCTTAGTAGCATAGATGCTGTATGGTATACAACAATACTAAAGATAGTTTTATGCCCTCTTAATGTCATAAATTGGCTTACAAATCTCATTACCAAAACATTTAAGCTGGTGGTCACAAAAATTACTTGAAACAAAATTCAACTTCCAAATATATTTGCAAATGGTGAATGAAGGTCACGGAGTTTGGTGTTTGTAGTCGATGGTTTTGAGACATGTTTCCCCAGATTCTGTCATCATTTCATCCAGGAAAGCTGAGGGGAACCGCCAACAATGTGTTGATCAGGACTTGAATGCCAACCCTCAAGTAGTCTCAAGAGCCATTAGCCCGTAAGTGGCAGTGGTTTTATCCTCCGAACAGAAAATTATGTTGCGTGCACATTCCGGGTAAAAAAATACATGTTCGTGAAATAGAGTCAGACCAAATTTGTTTCTTTCTAATTTCATTTATTTTTGTCCATCAGATTTGTTAATTAACTAATATGAAATAAAAGGCCTATAACTATAAGCAAAAATATTTAAAATATAATCCTATTTCCGAAGTAAACAGTACATGCTGATAACAGAGCATCAGTTTTTATGAAATAGAGAGTAAATGAAAGAAACGAGCTGGAATTCAAGTACAGGTTCTTTGTGCGACAAGAACATGGATGTGTTAGCAAAGGTGACAAAAGTTGCAGCTAACTTGCTGGGGATTACATCAACCACACGTCCTTCAACAACAATTCAATAAGCCATGCGAGACAGCCATTGGTGTCCCTCCACACAGAAGAAGGCTGAGAATCCCAGCCACAAGGCACTGTGGGCAACGACTACTCTTGTCCCCAGACAACACAATTAAACCGTCGTGCATGCAACAACACAACACAATTTTAGTTTGATGTCACAGAAATCCTAAAATAATAGACAAGCTCTACCCTTAAGCTCTAGCTATACAATGAGACATGTGTGCTTTCTTGTATAGCAACATGGCCTTCAGGAAAATGAAGACGTGTACTTTTGAAGATTTCATTCATCACATTGTACGTAAATTTTCTTTGATTTGAGTAAAGTATTTTTTGAGGCTGGTATGGTCAACACCTGCGACAGGTTTTGTCACGTTAATCATAATCACTGAAACCATGCCACACGTGTCACCAAATATGTGCTCTGTCTGATATTGATCAGCTGTACCGGCAGCCCTTTATCTCTTCATGTATATGCAATACCAAGGGTCGTTGTGACATTTTAGAAGCATCACTGGATCATTACAAGAGATCCGATTCCCCCCCGCTGCCTTCCTTAAGTAGAGAATGAGCATGTGTTTGGATATTCTTCAGCTGCAGTTCAATTAGTTTGTAAATGAATCACAATTGCAAATACTTCTACTTGAACGACAACACATCTTGTGCATATACTTGTCAAGTTGCTGAAATAATTGTAATATTAAGACAAACCAAATGATATTACTGCAAACTTAACTATACATCTGTTAAGGAGATATGAACAATAATAACCAATACATTGTCCATTGTTACGCTTATTTAGATTGAGTGAGTGAGTGAGTTTGGTATAACGCCGCTTTTAACAGTATTCTAGTTATATCACGGCGGGTCAGCTTAACCCACAATCATAGGTTTCTGTCGTGCCCAAGGGACGCAACTTTACAGAGTCACCTTAGACGACTGGGCTACCCGTGCCCCCTATTTTATATTGAATTATCTCATATCTATGTCATTTAAATGCTTAGAATCAAAGTTGTTCTTCATATAAACTACGAGACAAAGAAAGTATACACCCATATTTGATGGTGACTAAAAATGAAACCGACAAGAAATCAATATTCAGTGGTGATGGATTCGATACAGGTATCATAGTTGTGTTCTGGACTTCTGTTTGCAGTGTTTTCAGCCATGCAACGTTTTGATAACGTCAGCAATGTTTTTGTCAAATCCAATTTTCATATGTATACTTTCTCTTTCCCGGTAGTTCAATAGCCATGTATACAATTACCTACCTGTAATATAAAGTCAAAGGTGCATTCAGATGCAACAGTTCCACGTGAGAGGAGGGATTATATTAGAGATCCTAGTAAATGGACGCTAGCCAAATATCTGCAATAAAAAGTACATTTCCTGTCCGTGTGTCACCAATTCGCTGTGAGTCCGTGTCCCCACCAACGTATTTCCGATTTTGTGAACGTGGGTTTCACCGACCAATTAGGAAGCCACCTTGGTTAGTGACACAGGGGAAATTGAGCTGAACTCCTTCAGGCAACTCCACGGTTAGGAGACGGTGTAACCTGCGTGATTAGTATCACCCGTCTGAAGACAATAGCAACAATGGCCACCACAATGGCACCATCCACAGACGCCAAGATATGGATCTAAATGCCCATTTGCGAAAAGTACTTGTCACTTTGGAAAACATATAAACTAAGAAGGATGTGATGCATCAGACTCAGCAACATCATCATGGATAAGCCCTGAAGGATAATAAGTTGCAAACTCAGACCATCGTGGGATGGATATCTTTTAGAAATGTCTTCCCCAGCACTAAAGTAAATGATGAGTTGTGTAGTTCATGTGATTAAGCATCACTTTCAAAACTACAGCTTCTTTTCAGCCACTAATAATCCACGAAAACCGCATTATGTTTACAAGCATCCAATGCAGTGTCTTCTGAAGCTTAACTCTAACAAGTGGTAGATTTCAGACCTGCCAATTTCAACACCTTTCTGAACTCCACACATGGCTTGACATAACTCTCCTGTTGGTACCTGATGTAGTGAATCCTCCCAGTCTCCATACATCATCTTTCTTTCTCCCTCTCAACAATGGTGGCAGTCCCTCAGGCCTTTACAACACACCTTCACACAATTACAAAAGCGCACTTTGAAACATGGCAGCCATCGGCTTGGGGATGTATACAGAAAGTCCAAAATAGCTGAGAGAGGTGAGCAATTACAAACACTGTACCACAGCGATGTAGAGGACGAGATTGCTGCCTGGCTATTAGACGAAGCAGTGGAAGGACAGGCACAAAATGCGTGTTTACCATCTGCTCTTCTCTGACGGACAGCCTGTGAAAGGTTTCAGGAGTTTCATAGCCACGGGTTCACAGGTTCTCCCAACACGCCACACCATAAAGCTTAAAGAGTACTCTTCCGCTAAGCATAGGGGAGTAATGAGAGAAATAATGATGGAATCAAAGGAGTCCTTCAGGTGCTGTCACAGCTTTGTGTCAGTGTGTGCTGGGGAATATATGACGTGTCCTATCATGGATGTACCACACATATACATTGAAGACTCAGGACGTGTTTGAGCTTCAGGCTCAGTTCTAGTTAAATATAGGTTGAAAACAACCATTCTTTTGCATTTAAAGTATCATAAACAGGAAATTGTCAAACAAGAATATATACAATGAGGACTATAATTACTACTAATTAATCTGAGGTTATTATGATAATTATTATTAGTGTCATTCTTCATTGCTATAAGGTGAGGTGAGCTGAAATAGGGTTTAAAGTCGCGTCCAGGATTATTGCACTTTTATAGTGATGTGCATGCATGTGTGTGTGTGGGTGTGTGTGTGCGGGTGTGTGTGTGCGTGTGTGTGTTGCTGCTTGTAGTAGTCTGAACTGATGCCGATTTTATAGTGCTAGCCCACTGAGATACCATGCCACACTTTTACATGAATACCCCACTCAGACACAGTATACTGACTCCGAGCCAACCAGTCCTTGTTTTAGACCCTTAATGTTGAGTGCCAGGCCAGGTAACAACAAGTACCATCTTTTAACGTCTTTTGGGATGACACGGCCGGGAATCAAACTCCTGACCTTCCTCTCTCCAGGCGGATGCCCTACCACTTGACCACAGAGTCGGTCTCGGCGCTATGATGATGATCATCATTATTATGTAAATTAAGTATTCATTAAAACTGCAAAAGCTATCCATTTAATGAATCCTTTGATAGTGATATACCATATTCGACGTTATAAGCACCCACAGTGATATTTGCTGATATATTGGCTAGTGAACAATCCCAATTAGCACCCTTCCGATTGATCAACGTACACAAGACTTATTTATTCGTGTATAATACACACTCATGTGTTATATGCACCCTTAATCACAGGCAAATAAATTCTGGAAAATTATATCTGTCGTGTATAATACGCAGAGACTTTTCTTTTGTATCATTTCAGGCTGTCAGCATAAACCATGAAATATACGATCTCTCAACTCTTTCACCAAATTTCTAATAAGAGCCCCCTATTTCTAATTTTGAGAGCACCCTGGGCACTTATTACGTTGAATACGGTATGTATTTCCTCAATAAAGGATACATCAATAAGCTTTCAAACTAATACAACTTCCAAGATAAATCAATCATATGACCAGTTTGAATACCAAGCCTTAAGAAGGTGACATGAACAGCGTTGTTTATTTCAATCACATCAAAGACAATTGGAAACAAAACATTCCACTTATCCATCCCTGTATTTTAATGTTTAAATAAGGTAACATCCTTGGTGGCACATCATGCATTACCTTTAAGTATGGAATCTTTACCATGAATTTAGCATGAATGTCAAAATTGACCTTTAAATCAATTATACGTTATCAGACTTTCATCCGTGTGTGTATCACTTCACACCACTACACCTCATGAAACATAGCAGAATAGCCGAAAATACACCAGCTGATCTCAATTTGATATTCAATGGAAATGGGGAGTTACCAGAACAAGATAACAAAAAAAGTTTAAGTTTAAAAAGAGTTATATACGTAATACAAATAGATTTATGTCAACTATATTTTTCTCACTGTTCACTTGTCTTTTCCTATTCTTGTCTTTCCTTCTGTTCTGTTCGTGTTTAGAACAAGCTGGAAATCAATGGCGTAAATATCTGGGAGAAGGTGTCCTAAGTTGGAAAACTTGTACCCAATCCCATTCACATTTTGTGATTGAATATGTTTAAATAAAATCACACCTCATCCCCTTAGCCGTTGATATCCCCAGTTTGTAAATCTAACATACAAGGTACTTGTCTGCAATGTTCAACGACCTTCCATTTCGGAACTCAATGGATCCTCCATATTTCGGAAACCTATTTTGTTTCTACACATGAAGAGTTCAATCAATCCTTGGAATATACAGTAAAAATCAAAAACTTATTTTCTGTTGAAAATTAATTGAATAAAACATGATGAACAATTAAATGGTTTGTGAAAAACAAACCATGAAGCGGTGTACTGTATTCCCTGTGGTATGTGCAAGGTCATGTCAACTCGGGGTGAAACGATACATCGGTGCACTGGTGCATCGTGGGTTTTCATACAATGATACGATATACGATACATTTTTTCTGTATCCATACAAGAGAGCACACTTGCTAAAATAAATTACTTTGTTCTTATTTAATTACCCCCTCCCCCTCCCCTTTTCGTCAGTCACATATTGCAAAATGTGTTGTAATTAGTTTTTCAAGTTTACTTCTTAAAAGAGATGTTATGAACATGTGTCTACATCTAGCTTTTCCTTTGGAATCTGCTCTAAAATATTTATAGTCAAGAAGTGATTGCACATAAATATGCGTTTCGCCATACATTAGGGCTGGGATGAGTCCAAATTTACTATCCGGGTACCCACCCCCTATTACACGATCCTACACGGGTACCCACTCTCAAAATGTCCAATTGGGAACATGTCCAATTGGGAACATTTTTAGCATAGCCCTGGCAAAACGTATTTAGATACATGTATTAAACAATCTAGTCATTCATACACTGAAGCTGAATTAAGTTATATCTTTATTCAACCATATGAAAAATCAGATATATTGTATAATGACAATATCTGAACTCTATGGTTACACTACAAGTCACTAATGTTCACATTTCTTTCTGACTATGCACCCATTCCTTCTAACCACGGGTCCGGGTAGTCCTGTGAGTACCCGCTTCCTACTCAGTACCCACCCGACCCGGGTACCCGAGTTACCCATCCCAGCCCTACCATACATAGTGTATCATGACCCATGTATAGTGATACGCATCCTATCGTGACCTTGCTGTATTGTCGCCCCAAATGTGAACTACATGTAGAGAGAACTCTCTAAAGTCTCCTTCCATCAGAAGTGACCTTTAAAATGAGGAAGTCCCTGGAGTGTTAAAATCTCCCACTACAGGACAAGGCAGTTGACTCTACAGACCCCACACAGCCTACCAGAGTAAGTTATTAGTTGTAGGGAAAACATGACACTCTCATGCATTAACATGGCTGGTGTTGGGCCCACTAGACAACGCCAATAGTGGCATCACTGATGAAGATGAGTTAACCCCCAGTATTATTAGGAGGCATCAATAACAATGGTGGAAACTGACAATGCCCCTGCTAGTCTAGACAGATTGAGGAATACTACAAGAATTGACCTGTACTTATTGAAGAATACTTCAAGAATTGACCTGGACTGATTACAGAATACAAGAATTGACCTGGACTGATTGAAGAATACAAGAATTGACCTGGACTGATTTCAGAATACAGGAATTGACCTGTACTGATTGAAGAACACAAGAATTGACCTGGACTGATTGAAAAATATCACAAGAATTGACCTGTACTTATTGAAGACTACAAGAATTGATCTCGACTGATTACAGAATACAAGAATTGACATGGACTGATTACAGAATACAAGAATTGACCTGTACTCATTGAAGAATACAAGAATTGACCTGTACTTATTGAAGAACACAAGAATTGACCTGGACTGATTTAAGAATACAAGAATTGACCTGGACTGATTGAAGAATACCACAAGAATTGACCTGTACTTATTGAAGACTACAAGAATTGACCTGTACTGATTGAAGAATACCACAAGAATTGACTGACCTGGACTGATTTCAGAATATCACAAGAATTGACCTGGACTGATTTCAGAATACAAGAATTGACCTGTACTGATTGAAGAACACAAGAATTGACCTGGACTGATTGAAAAATATCACAAGAATTGACCTGTACTTATTGAAGACTACAAGAATTGATCTCGACTGATTACAGAATACAAGAATTGACATGGACTGATTACAGAATACAAGAATTGACCTGTACTCATTGAAGAATACAAGAATTGACCTGTACTTATTGAAGAACACAAGAATGGACCTGGACTGATTTAAGAATACAAGAATTGACCTGGACTGATTGAAGAATACCACAAGAATTGACCTGTACTTATTGAAGACTACAAGAATTGACCTGGACTGATTGAAGAATACCACAAGAATTGACCTGGACTGATTGAAGAATACAAGAATTGACCTGGACTGATTGAAGAATACCACAAGAATTGACCTGGACTGATTGAAGAATACAAGAATTGACCTGGCCTGATTGAAGAATACTACAAGATTTGACCTGTACTGACTGTGCAATAACCACAGCATCAGATAATGCACTTGGAACAGATTTCAACACAGTGATGTCTACTGCAACTACCACAACATCAGATAATGTACTTGGAACAGATTTCAACACAGTGATGTCTACTGCAACTACCACAACATCAGATAATGCACTTGGAACAGATTTCAACACAGTGATGTCTACTGCAACTACCACAACATCAGATAATGCACTTGGAACAGATTTCAACACAGTGATGTCTACTGCAACTACCACAACATCAGATAATGTACTTGGAACAGATTTCAACACAGTGATGTCTGCTGCAACTACCACAACATCAGATAATGCACTTGGAACAGATTTCAACACAGTGATGTCTACTGCAACTACCACAACATCAGTTAATGTACTTGGAACAGATGTCACTCATCACTATATTCACATTATCATTTTAGGCATAAGGTAAGCCT